TGTACCACGGAGTCCATCCTCCAAAGCCGCCGTTTTTCTCCATGGGAACCGGTCTCTGTAGTAGGGGGAGTCAGTTTTAATTCTGGGAGAGCTCCACACGGAGGCTGGTGACACTACTCAGATGGGGTGTTCCGCAAGGTGGACGACTGCCTGCCACCAAGGCAGCCTGGCTTCTCTGTTGGGCAGTGGCTCTCCAGTGTCTCGGACGAAGAGATACCTTTCCCAGCTTTCTTAATCTTATTTTCTTAAGGTAGTTTTATCCTGCTTTTCTTCAAAGATCCAGTGGGATGAACAGCCTGTATGCTGTTGGGCATAACACTGTGAAATCCATAACCCTCCCCCTGCAATACAGGTTGCAGTCTTTTAACTGGAAATGCCAGGGGTCTATCCTGGAAAGTAGGTGCTCTTCCGCTGAGCTTTTGGGTCCTTCCAGACCTTGCCCTGACCTGGGTGGTCCAGGGTAGCCTGATCTCCTCCGATCTTGGACGCTAAGTAGGGTCGGCCTTGGTCAGTATTTGGATGGGAGAGCTCCAAGGAACAGGAGAAGAGACCGGATTTATACCCCACCCTTCACTACCAGTGTTCCCTCTAAGCTGAGTTAGTGTAAGCTAGCTCACAGTTTTTACCCTCCAGCTCACACATTTTTGTCTTCTTAGCTGAGGAAGGAGGGCTCCAGAGCAAACTAATTTATGCAGTAGCCCAGTCGCTCGCTCACAACTTTAATGCCAGCAGCTCACAAAGTAGAATTTTTGCTCACAGGACTCCACAGCTTAGAGGGAGCATTGTTCACTACCTGAAGGAATCTCAGAGCAGCTTGCAATCTCCCTTCTCCTCTCCCCACAACAGACACCCCGTGAGATAGGTGGGGCTGAGAGAGGTCTTTCAAGGACTGCTCTTGAGCGAACAGCTCTGAGAGAACTTGTGACTGACCCAAGGTCACGCCGGCAGCTGCATGTGGAGTAGGGGATCAAACCCAGTTCTCCCGGATTAGAGTCCGTGCTCCTAACCACTACACCAAACTGCCTCTCCAGGGTTGCAGTGCAGGGGGCTGGCAATGGGAAACCACCTCCGAGTGTCTGTTTGCTTTGAAAACCCTAAGGGGGTCACCACAAGTCAGCCGTCACTTGGTGGCCCCTTCCACCAGGTCTTGCCAGTTGTTCTCTGGCCTGATTGGAAATAAATTAATAATGCAAGACTAGAGACTCTGTGCTTAAGTGACTTACAGGGCTCTTTCTGTTCTGCTTTCTGTTCTGCTTTCTGTCGTCTCCCTCTGAGCCCAGAGAAGGGTGATCTTTCTGCCCTGCTTACAGAGATGGCCCTGGAGTGGAAAGGATTACGTCTAAGCCCTGTGCGAACGTTTTCTCCTTGGCTGTTTCCTTGCTGTGTTTGGTGCCTAGCCGATGCTGGGAGGCTGAATCTGCCAGGCTTCTTGCCAGGTGACCCAATTTCAAATCCCCACCCTGCCATAGCAGCTTGCTGGGTGACCTTGGGCCAGTCCCACACGCTCAGCCTAACCTGCCTCACAGGACTGATGTGAGGGTAAAATGGTGAACCGTGTAAGCCCCTGTGGGTCCCCCTTGGGTAAATACC